TTCATCCATCTATCGGTCCTTCATACAGACATACAGATATCTAAAAAACAACAACAAAAAAAAACATGAAATATTTTATTTGTTCACTTGCATGTCATGTGATTATTAGCCAACATCAGAGATCCTTGAACATGCAAATGCTGCACAGGCAGATGACGGAGAGCTGTAACACATCTGCTCTCCACATTCTGACGCAACCTTGACCTCCCCTGAGTTTGACATCCTTCATTCCCCCAACATGGTCGCTTCATTCAGCGTGTTATTTGCAGCTGGCTATTTGGCCGGCGAAAAGCTCCAGGGCCCTTGTCGCATGAGCATTTCCACACTGACTGCCTTTCATGAGCATGCTGCAGTTTTTAATAAGGCAGACTCAATGGCAGAGAGGGGCACAGAAAAAAAATCTGATCATTTTGCCTTTACTGCAAGAAAGTCATGAAATCCTCGGTAGAGAGCCATCAGGTCGGTTTTCAAATACTATGGCTTCATTATGCGAGTGAATATGGCAGATATCTCATTGCTTGCCAAGTTAAAGGACACTGTAAACATATTCTAAACAAGATCTCTGCAGGCAGTGAAATGGCCTGTTTTGGCTTTATATACACTGTACAGTGCACCACAGTTTGGAGTCGGTAAGATTTTGGAAAATGTTTTTCAAAGATATCTCTCAGGCTGCATTTATTTAATCAAAAATACTGTAAAAACAGTGACATTGTGAAATTGTATTATAATTTAAAATAACTGTTTCCCATTTTAACATTTTTAAACAATTTATTCTTTTGACGGCAAAGCTGAATTTTCCAGATTCAACCATTACTCCAGTCTTTAAAGGGGTCATCTGATGCCCATTTTCCACAAGTTGACATGATTCTTTAGGGCCTTAATGAAAAGTCTGTAACATAGTTTGGTTAAAATTTCTCAAAATGGTAGTGTAAAACAACAGTTTTTACCCTGTCAAAAACAGCTCTGACATGAAATATTTTATTTGTTCACTTGCATGTCATGTGATTATTAGCCAACATCAGAGATCCTTGAACATGCAAATGCTGCACAGGCAGATGACGGAGAGCTGTAACACATCTGCTCTCCACATTCTGACGCAACCTTGACCTCCCCTGAGTTTGACATCCTTCATTCCCCCAACATGGTCGCTTCATTCAGCGTGTTATTTGCAGCTGGCTATTTGGCCGGCGAAAAGCTCCAGGGCCCTTGTCGCATGAGCATTTCCACACTGACTGCCTTTCATGAGCATGCTGCAGTTTTTAATAAGGCAGACTCAATGGCAGAGAGGGGCACAGAAAAAAAATCTGATCATTTTGCCTTTACTGCAAGAAAGTCATGAAATCCTCGGTAGAGAGCCATCAGGTCGGTTTTCAAATACTATGGCTTCATTATGCGAGTGAATATGGCAGATATCTCATTGCTTGCCAAGTTAAAGGACACTGTAAACATATTCTAAACAAGATCTCTGCAGGCAGTGAAATGGCCTGTTTTGGCTTTATATACACTGTACAGTGCACCACAGTTTGGAGTCGGTAAGATTTTGGAAAATGTTTTTCAAAGATATCTCTCAGGCTGCATTTATTTAATCAAAAATACTGTAAAAACAGTGACATTGTGAAATTGTATTATAATTTAAAATAACTGTTTCCCATTTTAACATTTTTAAACAATTTATTCTTTTGACGGCAAAGCTGAATTTTCCAGATTCAACCATTACTCCAGTCTTTAAAGGGGTCATCTGATGCCCATTTTCCACAAGTTGACATGATTCTTTAGGGCCTTAATGAAAAGTCTGTAACATAGTTTGGTTAAAATTTCTCAAAATGGTAGTGTAAAACAACAGTTTTTACCCTGTCAAAAACAGCTCTGTCTACAGCAAGCGGTTTTATTGCATACAGCTTTAAATGCAAATGAGCTCTGCTGACCCAACCCCTCTCTGAGAGACTGTACTAGCACATTATTAGGAAAGGCGATTTGCAAAGATTCATTAAAGGAGTCATATGATGCTGCTAAAAAAGAATATTATTTTGTGTATTTGGAGTAATGAAATGTGTTTATGCGGTTTAAAGTATAAAAAAAAAATAATACAAAATTCCCACATACTGTACATTATTGTTTCTCCTCTATGCCCCGCCTTCTTGAAACACGTTGATTTTTACAAAGCTCATCGGTCTGAAAAACCGAGGTGTGCTGTGATTGGCCAGCCATCCAGTGCGTTGTGATTGACCGAATACCTCAAGCGTGTGACGGAAATGTTTCGCCCCTCACCATACTGTTGATGTCATGTCAGGCCGGAGTGATGAGACAAAAACATGAAAACCCATTACAAACGAGGCATTCGTTGCATCCAGTGGGGACATAATTACTGATTATAATGACTTGTACTGTCTTTTTACGCGTTGCATCGCGCCGTGTAAACATAAAACCATGTCTGCATTTGTGATCGGAGAAATGACAAACTACAAACACTACTCTACACTGCCCAAAACTCACGTTTGAATCATCAGTGGCAAATCCTTTAAATGAAAAAGTACTTACAGACTGTGAGTCCGAACTGCCGGCATTGTAGTCTACTCTTCCAGGATCAGTTCTGGAACAGTGTTGTAAATACAACTTAACTACTGATTTGTAGTCGTGTCCTCTTTTGGAAGACCAAACAAAGTAGTTTCGCTTTCACAACGAAACACAGGCGGCCTAGCGTAAGCTGAGGCGCAGGCTTGAGAACAGCGCAGCCGGCGGATTACATGTGACGGGTCTGGGCTGGACTCGGCTTCGTCCACAGTGAAAGCCGATCCGGTGATCCACAGCACTAAGTTGATGTATTTTCTCAGCGACCAGCACAGATCAGCTCCAGGCATGACGAAGCGGATATCGTCCTCTTTTGGAAGACCAAACAAAGTAGTTTCGCTTTCACAACGAAACACA